AAATGTTTAAATATTTGGTTTTTTAAAATCACAAGTATTTTCCTACTTTTCTATAAATACTGTTCTCAGTTATTATAAAATCATTTTAACGATATCGTTTTAATTTTTTTCTTATATATATATATATATATATATATATATATATATATATATATATATAATACTTTTGTTTCTTAATCTACTTTTTCAGTTCATATTCGATTTCATCGATATCATTTTCAAACGAATTATCTGAGGTTCCCGAAAAATCGTACCATTCAGGCGAAAACTGAGATCTTTTTTCTTTTCTTCTAAGCTTTGGCTCCGAAGATAGTAATTTCAAATTGTGCGAAATAAATGTCAGTTTACCACTTCTTTTATATAACAATCGGTTACGCTTAACAGTGCACACATTACCAAATGTGCTAAAACTTCTCTCGGTGGCTGCTGTACTTGAAGGCATTCCTAAAATATCAACTGCAATTGAGCTTAATAATGTTCCCATAAAATTAACTTTCCACCAAGTGATAGAATCCAGAGTTTGAACAGTCTTTCTAATGTATGGTTTACCGTAAACATTTTCGTTGTTTCGATACAACGCCAGGTCGGTCATGATGTCTATTACATTTTGCGATTCTTCCCCGTGTAAATAGCAGGCTAGATCGTGAATAAATTCAACTGCAATAGCGAATTCGTCTGCCCTTAAATACTTGCTATTACATTTTGGGTCCAGTAGATTTGCAGCCAAATGGATTGGTCTAAGTGTAAACTTTCTGCGGCTTTCAAAAATGTCTATGATTTGTTCGTCTTCCTCGTCGGAGAGCACAGAATCATTTAATAATTCTTGAAAAGAATTTTCAATTTCAGCAAAGGCAATCACAACTGAGCTTAAACGAATTGTGTCACTTTCGAGAAGCGTAATCTACTTGACAATCGGTGAAAAATATTGATGCGTTATTTTGAGACCACACCAGAAATTCTCGGAGAGGATATTTGCAGAAACATCTGTTTTCCTGGTAATTTTAAAGAAAGAGCTTTTGTATTTGATCCTTCTAGGACTACTTGTTTCTGAATTCGTTTAAATGCAGCTCTTAAAACCTGTCGGTTATTTATTTCTTTCACTACCGCATTAGCATCTCGTATAAGCTGATCGAATATTTCAATTTCAGCAAGATCTTCAATCAATAAATTCAAGCAATGATCAGCACAACTGTAAACATAAATATGTGACCTGGACAGTAAAAAGGGACCTTTTGTCCGAAAAAATTAATTTTTTATTGATTGGTGATTCTGATAGAGAAAACTTTTTTCTATCACAATCACCAATTAATAAAAAATTAATTTTTTCGGACAAGAGGTCCCTTTTAACTGTCCAGGTCACATATGCTGAAATTTTTCTTGAATCAGGTCTCTGGCTTTTATCATAGCAGCAGCGTTATCGGTTATAACACCTAAAAAATTTTCACCTCCAATTTCTTCAATGACGTTTTCCATCAATTCCGATAAAAATTCACCTGTATGGCGGTGTTCCTCTGTAGCAAATGATTTATAAAACACTGGCTCAGGTGTTGTGATGAGAAAATTTATAATGCCTTCATTTCTGGAAAAAATTGTTTAATATTTTTTTAAACCATTAATTTATACATAAAACAATGTAATTCTTTTAAATTTTATAAAACATGATTACTTTTTGTTAGTCCAACCATCGCATTGAAGTCCAAGAATTGTGGAGTTTAATATTTTATCATTAACTTTGTTACTAACAGTGTCAAATTCCGCATCTAGAAAAGTATTACTTATTTTGAATGCGCTCGGCATTTTCCATGTTGGTCTCAACTCCTTGAAAAAATCAATCCAATATTCGTTGTCAAAAAATGATAAAGCAGAATTTGTTGCATAAATAGCTCTTGCAAATTTTTCATCGATTCTTACCTATGGAAAACAATATTTTTAATAATAAAATCAAAATAAAGTGACCACTATAAATATAAACATGCAATTTTAGAAAAACTTGGTACATTGATTTAAAAATTTTCATCTATAAAATTGTTGTAATTGAGAAATTATAAGAGTTGCAATCAGAAATTCTATCACTCGAAACACTATTTATACACGTAAAAGAATATAATTTATATATTTATCAAAATATTAAAAATTAAAAAATTAAAATAGCATATATGTAATAAAAATTTACTTTTTGATCCGCACTCATGTGGTCAATAAAGTTTCCAATTGATGATACTTTTAACTTGGATTGTTTGAGGTTCATTACAGTTTTCTCATTTCTATTGACCTCCTTGTCATTTTCCAGATTGTCGTTATTATCAACCATCGTGTTACTTCGCTCATTTATGTTGATAGGTTCTGGTCTGGAAGCTTTTCCTATTTTGATAAAAAATTATTCAATTTTAAAATTCAACTAAAAATTGAAAAGACTTTTTTTAAAAACATATAACCTTACAAACTTATATAAATACTTACCAGGTCCCTCATCAACATAATTATTTAAAGATGAACTTGATGTTTTGTCATCATTATCCTGGAACAATTTTTTAACACTTGGAGGACACTGACCGCATTTTAGAAGATGTTTTGTTTGCCTAGTTGCATTTTTTGCATACTCTTGATCACAAAATTTACACAAAAACTTAATTGTTTTCGTGTTTTTATCCTCAATACTTTTAAAGTATTTCCAAACTGCACTTTTAGGTTTTGTCATTTTTGAAAAATAAATAAATATATAGTCATTAATCAATAAAAATAATTGTGAAAGTATAATATGGATAATGCTAAACAGAACCGACTAACGCACGTGCCAAAGCCTAAAGGAAAGTGAGGTTATGTTGTGTTTTTATTTATTTCTATTTTGCCTCCATTCTAATTGTATGTATGAATGGATGCTCTGAATTTAGTAAATTAGAAAATTTGAATTAGTTAAGCAATATATGAAAAAATTTAAAAATTATTATATATTATCTGCATTTTAATTTGTCTTATTTAAAAAAGGAAAATTCTCATAAATTCTCAGAGAATTTAAACGTTGGTTATATTCTTGGTAATATTCTCGTTCTCGGTAATATTCTCTCGGTAATATAACCGACTTAAAACACTATTTATTAATATATATTTGAAAAATTTTACAAAATTTTTTTAAGGAAAAATAATTAAAAATCTGAAATGAAAAAACAAAAATATTCTTAAACTAGATAAAATTTGAGGGTCCATATGAATTTCCGATTTTTAAAAAACCTTTTAAAAAAAATGCGGGTCATTTGAAAAAGAAAAACTTGTTTATTCCCTTTTTTTGCTTTAACGTAAAAAAAACAATAACAAAAATTTTTTTTTGAAAAAACGCAACCTTATGGCCTTCTAAATTGAATATGCTTTAATTTCAACCTTCAAACGTCGAAATCGGTTCAGCCGTTGAAGGTGAATCGTGCCCCGCGAGCTAATAAGGTGTTAAGAGAAAAACGCGTTAAAAGTTTGACGAAGAAAAAATCGTATGTAATGTTTGTTTTTTTAAACTTACGTCTAATCAGCTATTCTAGGACCAAATAAGGTTCCTTCAATTAAAAGAATTTTCTGCCGATTAGGTTACTCAGATTTGGCGAGACGCGCTATCCGTATTTTCTAAACAATTAATTTTTTCAAGAATTTTTTAAAGAATCGATTTGGAAATTTTTAAAATACTTCCTGAAATAGTAATGAACAAATGTCTCACGAAAAGTTTTTTTAACATAAACTTTTGGGTTTTCGTTATACATAATTTATTGTTGAAGGTTTATTTATTATTTTAAAGCCTACCGGAAGTTTGCAACTTATCGGGATAATTTTCTATATTGCCTGAAAATTAACGCATAAAAAAGGCCGTTTTTTATCATTTAAACCTATTTTTTTAGTGAAAAAGTAAAATGCTAGAGTATTTCCGACTTTCGATTCTAAACACGGAGAGAAAAATCTGCCTTTTATAGTATGAAATAGATTGCTGCTATTTTTCTTTAAACTTTTCATACTAATAGAGCAAAGATTTGAGAATTTTTAGGATAGTATTTGTCCGTACTAAAAAAGCATAGTATATATGCTTCTATAGTACAAAACATGTAGTTTAATAGCAACAACGCCATGCGAAGATCGCACATAACATCATCCTACTATGTTTGCATAAGTTCTATGCTTTTTCGGGGATAGACTCTTGCAACTGGCGATTAGGCCACGCCCACCTTTACTGAATTGGAACTGCCCTAATCGCCAGTTGCAAGAGTCTATCCCCGAAAAAGCATAGAACTTATGCAAACATAGTAGGATGATGTTATGTGCGATCTTCGCATGGCGCCGTTGGATTAAAAGTATAATAAGTATGTAATAAGAGGCTATATGACAAACTTTATTAGCATAGACAAGTTTCATGCTAAAAAGACATACGATTGTACTATAATTACTCAAATTTCATGTCTATATAGCATAGAAAATTTCTGTGCATTAAATGTAAACCTTTCTATACTATAAAAGGCAGATTTTTCTCTCCGTGAATCTACGTGAAAAAACCCATGAAAATCATGTATCATTTTATTTTTCTAACTTGTAAATATTAATAAAAAAAAACATAAATGAATCATGGGACAAAATGTCCCGGTTGTAGTTCTAGGTATGCAGGATTTTCGGTAGTTCTAGTGTTAATAGATTCAATAGATCTAGATGAGTATGTTTACTAAGTTATTACTAAGTTACAAAAAAATCCATTACTATTTAACGAAGATACCATTATTTATGTTTTAAAATTCAATTTAATTTTGGGATAAAAATTTTTCTTCTTTTTTGCTTTTACTATAAAAAATATTCAACTTAGAAAAAAAACTTTAAAGAAGAAAGGTTGCGTTTTTTAATCTTCTATAAGGTAGTGCTTTTGAAAAATTAAAATTTTTTCTAATTATTGCCGAGCATAGCCCCTCAATTAGTTAAATAATTATGTCCTATCAATTACAATTAAATCTCTTAATATCGTGAACATTACTGTGTTTAAGGTTTTTGGTTACTTGCCTGAAGGAGTCCGAAAATGTATAGTATCAACAAATATTGCAGAAACATCAATTACAATAGATGGAATTAGATTTGTTGCTGATAGTGGCAAAGTTAAAGAAATGAGTTATGATCCTTTGTGTAAAATGCAACGATTAAAGGAATTCTGGATCAGTAAAGCCAGTGCGGAACAAAGAAAAGGTAGGGCAGGCAGAACAGGACCCGGAGTTTGCTTCAGGTAAGATAAAGTTTTTACTATTTGATGGATATTTGTCAAATATAAGTGATTCTTATATCAAATTTTTTTTGCTTCTTTAGATGCTTTAAACAGTTTTTTCATTGCATTTTTTCTTGATAATTTTTGTTGAATTTTTGAATTTTCTAAGAAAATTTATTTATCCGATAAATTGAATCATTAGAATTTGGAAATAGGTCCTAACAATTTGGTAATAAAAGTATTAATTCAACCATTGAAGTATCAATACTTTCAGGGATAAGTTTAGGTTTAAAAAGAAGAAAAAATTTAGATAGTCATATAAATTTGACTTACTTTTTATTATACTCGAAGATTGATGAATTAAGGATAGTAGTTGATTAGACCTCTGGATTTAATTATTTGAATCGGAATTCCCGTTTTTTGGATAATAATTATGTTATCCTCTTCTTTATTTTTTTTCTTTTTTTTGTTTTCACTGATTGACTTTATAATAATTATTTGAAATTTTATTTAACTGAATTTTTTTATAATTGACTTTTAGTTTTGACTTTTTATTATCTAAATAATGTTTTAACCCATTACTGACCAAATGTACAAAATTTGTCCATGAAGTTTGACTCTTGTTTTTTATGATAAAAGGCAAAGAGAAAAATTTTGCAATACCTACTTCTTATAGTTTAAGAATCCCTCTTTTAAATTCCGTAATGAAAATTAACGTATGTTAATAAATAAACAAATTGCAGACAGTTTTTAAATAAAAAACACGATTTTTTTAGTTTTTTTTTATTTATGAATTTTTTTGGGCACTTTAACGTAAAGGAATATTTTTTGTTGATACGTATATCGTGACAAAAATTGTCAAGCTTCAACATACGAGTATTTATTTTAGTTTATTTCAAAATGGCAAAGATTGATTAGATTCACTTGAAACTTATCCCTTGGCGGTTTTTGGGGTCGCTGATTACGATTTTGAGGTCAGATTGTCAAAATTCAAAATGGTGGATCTAATATGGCAGAGGACTTTTGCAAAAATAATCAACTTTGATTGAAACTTGTTATTCGGGGGTTTTTGGGTTTTCAACATTGTCTTCGCAATGTTAGGTTCCAGAAAAGAAAGTTGGTTGAATATGAATTTAGAAATTAAAAAAGTTCAATTGTTTTTTTATTTTTATATATTAAAATAACTTATTTATTTATTAACAATTAAAATATTTAATTAATGCATTTCCTTAATAAAGCAGCTTTTTATTTTACACACTTACTTTAAATGTAGGTATTTCAAAATATAATTCATTGGATTATAATTTAAAATTTATTTTTAACTTCGATCCAAAGGCATAAAAAATTATTTTAACACTGCAGAAATATTACTGCATTATTGCATCAATACTTAAATATCCTGTTTTCAGCAATATTTGGGTAGGTTTTTTATCAATACTATAAATTAATAATAATTTTAGATTGTATTCTGAAGAAGAGTATACAGCTTTAGAAAAATTTTCAACTCCTGAAATCCAAAGAGTTTCTCTTGATTCCCTTCTTTTGCAAATGGTTGCAATGGGACTACCAGATCCACGAAAGTTTCCATTTATAGAATCACCTCCATTGAAAAGTATAGAAAATTCAATAATTTCATTGAAAGAACAAGTACGTATAAATATTTGCATACATCTATTTAAAATGTTTGTAATATTGTTAAATAATTATTTTTATCCACATTGATAATATTTCCTTTATTTAACCATTATTTTTTCAATAAAGAAAACTTTAAATTATACACTGAGAGACCTATTGCACCGTAGCCGACTTTCGACAGGCGGCTGCGGAGCATTCTGTTGGTAAGCTACGAGACTATACGTTTAGGCTGCAGCGGTACATTTTTGGGCTGCTACGGTACATTTTAAGGCGCGTGTCTAGATCTTTTTTATCATTGTCATAGTTGATATTTAAAAATAAATTTTATGCAAACAAAAAAGTTTAAGACATAATCCAAGAAAAAAAATAAAAATGAAAAAAATTTTTAAAAAAGTTTAAGGTCTTCTGCATAATAAACATTATCACATTTTTTCTCTATTTTTAGTAGGGAAAAAGTTATAAGTAAAGCAAAAAAATATTGCTCAAATTTGTTATTTTAAATATCTCGAAAAATATTAAAAATTTCAAATTCAAAGTTTGTATACAGTAGAACCCCTCTTACCGCCAGATGTTCGGGACCGGAGAACCCAGTTACCGCCGGTTGACTAACAGCGCGCATACATCATAATTTGGGGCATATTATTATGTACTATAAATATTACTAATATATTATATAACATAATATAATATGAACCATTGAAATAAAATAATAATAACGAAATTATTTGTATATTATAATGTTTATAATATGTACAGTAGTAGCAGAAATATTTATAAGTAGTGGTTGCCCACACTAGATTTTATTGATACGACAATGGACTAAGAGAGGGACTGACGGTATACCTATACCTATGTTTCTTTCTAAAAATTTATACTTTTTTTATATTTTTTCCAATCAACCAATTGACACGTTTTATACTGTACGAACGCCTTCTATTATTCGAGATTTTAGGAATATTGTATGTTTGTTTTATTTTCATTAAAAAAATAAAAGAACGGGTCTTATGTAAAAAATGAACATTCCTTTCTTTATGTACGATTTTAGTTTTTAATTGGATAGTTCTCAATTTTCAAAATAGATGCTAATATTGTGACGTATATAATTCTAAACCATATAACAAAATAATTTAGGATGCTTTATTGGAAAACGAAAAATTAACAAGTGTTGGAAAAACACTAGCTCGATTACCTGTTGATTTATGTATCGGAAAGATGTTAATTATGGGATCAATTTTTCATCAAGTTGATCCAGTTTTGTCTCTTGCTGCTGCTTTAAGCGTTCAAAATCCATTTACCAATAGAGCTTACAGAGATGTGGAATGCGAGGTTAGTAATAAAGTTGTGCTCATGATTTACTGCGTTAAAATTATCACCATTATATTTATTTATAGCATTGAAAATTGAAAAATTTAATTATCTTTGATTATTATTTTTTAAGACATCCAGAAAAACTTTAGAATCTGATCACGGCGATCCTATAACGATTTTAAATGCCTATAGAGCTTGGTTGGAAATCAAGGAAGAAAGTGGAGTGAAATATGGAAACAATAAAAGCAAAATATGGTGTAAAAGACGAGGACTTGAAGAACAAAGATTTTACGAAATGACAAAGTTAAGAGCCCAATTTAAGGATTTACTTCAGGTGTAGCATTGATATATTTAATGGGTAATATTTATAATGTAACTATAATTGTATATTACTAATATTTGTTGAAAAATTTTAGGATTGCAATTTACAAAAGAATTTGTCAGAAAACACTAATTTGACAAGTCAGGAAAGAGTTTTACGACATGGAGAATTGAAACTTTTAAAACAAATAAAGCGAACATATAAACAAAATGAACATAGAAATCGTAAACAATTGAAATTTGAATCGTCTTATGTAGACGAAATGGAAAATGATTGTTGCGAAACTGATGAAATCGATATAAAAGATATAGAATTTAGAATGAAGAATGATCTGTCACAAGTTCAAAATTTAGTAACAGCAACAACAGCTTGCAGTTACAAAGATCTTACGATGTTAAAATTAATCTTATGTAGTGGTTTATATCCTCAATTTGCTTGTGCAGATGAATATAATTACTGTAAGGTACAATATCGCGTTTTTTAAAATAATATTTTATATTATTATCACAGTTTTCCTAAAAGTCTCAAATTGAGACCAAAAATTGCATCAAATCTTTGCAACGTTTTGATGCACATAAGTTATATCAAAAAGAGATCTATTTGTGTATCATTTTTAGAAATGATACACGAAACGGTCTCATTTTTTGATGCAAAAAATTTAATCAATTTATATCAATCATGGCCGAATTGAATCGACTCAAAATTAAACGAATTTTTTTCAGATATTTTGGTAATAGTACAATTGCGGAGACCATTTCACTATTTAATTTGAAAATGAAAATAACAGAAAATCAAAGACAATGTGCAATTCGATAATTAAAAAGTGACAGCTTATAAACATAACCTAAAATGCATGAGAAAAAATTTGTCGATAAAATCAATATAGCCGAGCTTTTTAGAAGGTAGATGGCAGCACTCATCTATTTTCTTTCTTTAAATTTTTTCTGAATTGTTTTTATAAAAAGCAAAACTGCCATCGACCTTCTAAAAAGCTCGACTATATTGATTTTATCGACAAATTTTTTCTCATGCATTTTAGGTTATGTTTATAAGCTGTCACTTTTTAATTATCGAATTGCACATTGTCTTTGATTTTCTTTTTTTTCATATTCAAATTAAATAGTGCAATGGTCTCCGCAATTGTACTATTACCAAAATATCTGAAAAAAATTCGTTCAATTTTGAGTCGATTCAATTCAGCCATGATTGATATAAATTGATTAAATTTTTTGCATCAAAAAATGAAACCGTTTCGTGTATCATTTCTAAAAATGATACACAAAACGATCTCTTTTTGATATAACTTATGTGCATCAAAACGTTGCAATAGAAAAAGAGACAACCAAGTTTACTGTGATTATTCACTTCTTATTACTCCAACATTTGGACAAACAACATTAAAGATAATTATTATGTTACAGTCTATAAGTGAGCAACTATATCACACGAAAGTAAAACCTTATGTCGGACTCCATCCATTAAGTTATTTTGGAAATAATCCACAAATTTTACAGCCCAATGAGTCAGATATTACATTTATTCCTGGATTAAAAACTTCTTCGCCTGTTAGTTCTAAGCATCAATTGCTTATATATCTGTAAGTTTTTTAAAAATCTCGTAAATTTTACAATGTTACTGTAAATTGATGAATAAAATATTTTGTACTGTTTTTTAACAGGTCTCTTTTAGAAACTACCAAGCCATATCTTGTAAATACATTCAGAATGCCAGCTGCTCAAACACTGTTACTTTTTTCTCGTGTAATTGACACGAATTCCGTATTTTCAATGTAAGGAAAATTTTAATAATAATATTAATTATTCTTATTTTATTCAAGATAAAAAATGACCTTTCTTGTTTATTAAATTTGATGTTAAATTTTTGTTAGTCGCCGTTTTCCGAACAAGATTTTTTCTCTTATAAAGACTAAATAATTACAATATAAAAGGTAAAATATATTTAAAAATATAAATTGACATTGCAAAAAACTTATAATTGTGAATAAGTGTATAATTGTTCAAGGTTAACAATGAAGGTTAACAAATCTCAAGCAGGGGCAAGTTTGATAAAAAAAGGAACAATTCGACTTTTCTGCAAAATTGTGAGGAATTGCTCCAGGATTAAAAATTTTCAAAACCGAAAATCGTGACTGATTCTATTTTAGAAATAAAAATTCGAACAAGAAAATATCTCTACATTCTATTGTCAAATTTTTCTTACACAAGAGGGCGCCAGTTTTTTCTTGAATCAAAATTCAAATCTCAACTAAATTTTAACCTACTTCGTCTGAGAAGTCCGTTTTTTTCCTCCACGTTTGCTCTCGCCATTCTCAAAATTCATAGACTAAAAAAAATTGGCAATGTTACTTATTTATTTTTAGTCCTCTTGCAAAATCTACCCTTTCATTTGGTGATTATAAAAATTTTTTATTTTTTCAAAATTCAAAATGGCCGCCAAAATGTCTAAAATGAATCTTTCAGTCCCACTATTAAAGGAATAGACAAATATCGACTAAACTTGTTACTCGGAAGTTTTCAGGGTTGCTGATTTCGAATATTTTATTATTCAAAATGGCGAATCCAATATAACAAAAATTGTGAAAATCGAACGCAATCGGCTTGACATTTTTTACTAGGGGGTTTGTGGGTTTCCTTTAAAGTCTTTTTTAAATTTCAGTCATTTTGAATCGGCCATTTTGAATTTTGAAAATTAGACTTCAAATTCGAAATCAGCGACCGTAAAAACCACCGAGTAACAAGTGTCAAGCCGATTGCGTTCAATTTTCAAAACGTTGTCCGCCATTTTGAATCTTGAAAATCTAACTTCATATTCAGAATCAGCAACCCCGAAAACCCCCGAGTAACAAGTATATAGTGATATGATATATTTCTTTTTGATATTTTTTAGGTTTGTGTGTGACTCGTGGTTAACTTTAGAATTTCCTGTTCCTGAAACTGGTCAGCTGTTGCTCCTAAAAGCTAGCAAATTGCGACAACAATGGGACTATTTGATAAATCAGAGTTTACAAGGTGAGATACCAGTTCCTATAAATTCTTTTAAACTGTAAGTGATTTTTTATTCTTTTAACAATATTTTACTAACAACGGAAGTAGACCATATAAAAAGATTCCTCGGAAAGTATGATATGGTATACCATTTTATATGATGAATTATAAGTCAACTGGTTGAATTACAATACGTCTACTATGAATTTTTTTCCTTTCCTTATTACAGTATGTAGTATACTGGAGATTGCTATAACTTTTTAAGGACGTTGTGTATCAAAAAATCGCTTTACCCACATATTCTACATATGTTATAAATGAAATTTATGCAAAAGAAAAAAAATCGATTTTTTGAACCCATCACACAGGGTGACCCCCTTAATTAAGAAGTTACACTGCCCTAAATACTTGAAAATAGGACGGGTTTTTAAAAATTACTTTGACGAATCTATTAAATATAGAACTTTTTAAGGATTATCTTCTTAAATTGTATGTATTTTACGTTACAGAGTCTCCGAACGTTAGTGATGGATTACAGCTTACTAATGTAACTGAAACTATACTAGTAAAGGAACTTGTAGAATACATGCATACTACTGTACCATATACGATAAAACGGCTTCTTCCGGCTAGTTTAAAGACGCTATATGTTGGCAAAGGAAATAACATTGACATTATAGAACCAAATCCATTTCAATCTGATTTTCACTGTATTCCAAATGGAGTTAAGGGTGGATGTCAGTTAACGAATCGTATAATATATAATTGGTAAGATAAACATATTTGGTAAATTTCACTTAAGGGGTTACACCACTTTGACCCGACCAAAAAATACTCTTTTTCAACAATTTTTATTGAAGAATAGACATTTTTTTAAGAAAATTAATACACAGTAGCACTGTAAAAACCTGGGTTCATTTTTGCTGCATATCATTCTGAGTTCCGGATCAAAATGATTCATTGGCAAACTTCAAGTGAATCAAAATGATTCTCGTCAAGTCAAGATTATGATTATTAAGTTGGTCTAAGAAATAGGGCGCCATCTGGTGATTAAGAAACAAAGCAGTTCAAATTTAATATCAGAATTTAATTTAACAGCATTGACAATTTATTTATAAATGACAATTGAAACAATGAAAACAAGTGTATAATAATAAAAGTCAATAAACATTATGTTATTATTAAAGATATTTATTCCGATGAAAATTTAAGTTTAAAAATTAAGTGAACTGGTTTGTCAATTACTACTATTTCTATATTTGAAAGAATTAATATTTCGATTCAAACTAAAATTAAAATATTAAATAATAATTTAATCTTAAAAATTATTAAATACCTAATTATTTTAATTATATTAATTATTAAAAAATTATTATTTATAATATTAATTTAATTTTAATAATTATTAAACAATAATATTAAATAATATTAAAATTTTTAAATTTATCATATTTGTCAAAAAATTAATGATAATAGTTATCATTTTTTTTAGTAAATTAAAAATAAACAATAATAATTAATTAAAAATTAAATGAAAATAATTTACCATTATTACTACTTTTGTTATATAACAATTACAAATATTTAAGAATAAGAATTTTTTAGATTTTGATTGTTCCTTAATTTCATTGATTTAAAAATAATTTTGTTTATTAAATTATTTAAAATTTTAACAATTACTTATTTTTAATTAAATTAATTAGTTAATTACAAACTTGTTTATTCAATTCATTTCAATAAAATGAAATCATATTAAATCTTAATATAATTTAATCTGCGCTGACACAAGATTTTATTTTTCGCTGACTTTTCTCTGATTTCCAAACAGAATTTCGTCTTTTTCTCTGATCTCGATGAAACAACTTAAAGGGGTGTTAAAAAAAGTAGTGATGCATAACGATCGATCCGATCGAGAAATCCTTAAAAACAATTCGAATGATCGTTAATTATGTAAGTATTCTCGTTCGGGTCGTCTCGAGAAATCGAGAATCTCGGTAACTCGATCGAACCGAGAAATTTTTTTCTAATTTAAAAAATAAGGTTATTTAAAATAACACAGGTACACAAAAAGTTTTTTTGTCCGAAAAACTACACTATTGTATTCCCTGGTATTTTTCCGTTGAATCTGAATCCGATGTAAAAATTGTCTGCTTGGTTCAAATTTTGGAAATAATCTCAAAAAACTGCTTTTCTGATAAGTGTTTTGGAATTGTCTAAAATATTTGAGCCAATTTAGCAATTCTGACTTCGGATTCCGATTCGGGAAAAAATACAAGGCAGTGTCTCGGAAATTTTTTTTTGCTTGGCAATGTAATTAATAAAAAAATTATCCAAAAATAAGACGTTTTGAATCTATGTATAAATCTTATTTATTTTTCAGCATTATCATAAAACAATATACAAAACACAAAATTATAAATTTATTATTTGACAGACAATGCAGACTGTATTTTTGACTTTAAGGAGCAAGTGGCCCAACTATTAAGGCACATTAAATATTTGATCGAATCATTGCTTAAACGATTTCGATGTTTTCTAATCGTTAAAGACCCTCGCGAAAAGAGTCTTTCGGCCGGTACAGATGTAGCTTGCACACTCAAAATATCCCTGGCCATTAAAGATAGAGTGGGATACACTTTCTCATTTTGCTTCCACCATTTCAAAATATCCTCATTGGCATCAGCAAGCTCTTGAGACAAGTATAGGTCCAATTCTAATCGCCAATTATTTTTTGTAGCTTTACTGCGTTTTCCGCTTTTTTGTGCTTTTCGGTTTTTAAATAACGAAAGTAAATCAATTTTTTCGAGTCCATCTTCGTCATCTTCCAAATTTTGTGAATCAGTGGTAGAAGTTGAAGCAATTTCTGGTACTTCTTGCTGCCATAATACAACATAATATAAATTATTGGGTCTTTGGACTGAGATTATCGATATTGGACATAAAAAACATAAATTTTTTAAAATAAAAGATGATATATAATACAATGAATATATATTTAAAAAATCTGTTTTATTATTAACCAACTGAAACTTTCAATTTAGTTAAATTTAAATTAAAAATTTTTTTAATTTATTTATTTATTTTTTTTTATTTTATATATTTTATTTATTTTATTTATTTTATTTATTTTATTTATTTTATTTATTTTATTTATTTTATTTATTTTATTTATTTTATTTATTTTATTTATTTTATTTATTTTATTTATTTTATTTATTTTATTTATTTTATTTATTTTATTTATTTTATTTATTTTATTTATTTTATTTATTTTATTTATTTTATTTATTTTATTTATTTTATTTATTTTATTTATTTTATTTTTTTTATTTATTTTTATTTATAATATAAAATTTATGGTTTTTAATTTTATTAAATTTTAATTGAATAATTATTATTATATTACCTCTACTTTGAAATACATAGTCTTGTACATTGATTCAAATTTTCTTAAAGAGTAAGCAGCAATTTCTTTTCCCCAAGGTGTTTGATAAAACGTCTCAAGTTTGAAACGGGGATCCAAAATTAAAGCTGCACAATAGACCCAATTGCTCCTGTCATAGTGCTTCATTAACTTTTTCTTTGCTTCTACCAATGCTTCCAAAATACACTTGTCTACATTACAATGATCAGCCGAATGCTCCAAATTAGATACTAATGTATCTATTTTGTCGACAAGCATGTTGAATCCTATGACAACTAGAGGCAAAGTCACATTCTTGTCACTGCTAAGAGCTTCAGTCAGCGTTTTGAAGTGTTGAAGAATCTTCATAATCTTTGTCATCAAAAGCCATTCATTATCTGATATCAGATATTTTTCCAAAGTTGGATTCATCTTGCACAAGAAAGTCAAAGCTCGTTGCATGCACGTTCCAGTCTTAATCATCTCAAATGTAGAATTCCATCGGGTGGAAACATCCATTTTTGGCAAAAGCATCTTTTCACCACTTAAATTGCAACAGCTTTCCAGTTTTTTACGCATTTGTTCTGATACATTCAATCGTTTAAAAAGTTTCCTCAGTTTCAGTAAAGGAAACTCTTCGGAATCTGATATGTTATCATCAGCCGAAAAATTTTTACCTTCGAAATTATCGTTTCCTTCGTCTTCCGCTACTTCAATTTCTCCAGCTTCCTCGTTTTCAATATCTCCATCGTAGTCATCTTCGTTATCTCCAAGATGCATTGAATCGATCTTTAATTTACTTAATAAATCTTGCACACTTAAATTAAAAATATGAGCATAACAGAGGAAGTGCTGATCCTTTGAATCAAACAACATCAAATTAGATAATTCTCGCATGAAAACAGTATTTGCTGCCGCGTTGTCTAAAGTAATTCCCTGAACTTTGTTTGTCAGCTCGGAATTGACAAGTGCAGAATGGAAAGTTTCTGCGATTTCTCGACCGGTATGTTTGCCATTCGAAGGGATGAAGAAAACTGTCAACGAATGTAACTCCCAATCATCATTTATGAAATGGGCTGTAACTCCAAAATACGATCGGTGTGCAACTGACGTCCAACCATCGCAAGTAAAAGAAATTTTTGATCGGTTATTTTGTAAAATTTCCATTACAATTTTTTCCATTTCAAAATATCTAGCTAACATCAGTGCTTTTAGCTCGTTTCGCAATGGTATATCAGCTTTTGGATTTAAATAGTGCATCAATTGTTGTGTTTCATTGTCATCAAAAAAAGTATATGGCAAATACTTCAGAGCTATCCAATCCACTACTATCTTGTTAAAAGTTTCTTGTTTAAAATTCTATTAGAAAAATTTAAAATATTTGTAATATTTAAAAAAAATTATGCAAAATATTAATCAATTTAAAACGTATTTCTTAGTATTTTATTTTTTGTTTTTTAATACTATTATATTTATTTTTATTACTTAATTTTTTAGTACTTTTTCCTAAATTTACAAGGTTACAAATTTCATCTTATTTTCAATAAAATTAAAATCAAGCCAGATGTTTGAAAAAATATTTTCATAAAATTTTATTACAAGTTATTTTGAAAAAATATGCTATTATAAGTAATTAAATAGTAAAAAATATTTAACAATATTTTTAGAATAAATAAGAATTAAAGACAGTGTACAACAAAGTATATTGATTTAAATTTTAGACTAGTTAGAAAACAGAATTATTATAATTTTACGTTTTGAGAAAGAAATAAAATGTTTCTTTCGATGTTGCGAATAAATGCTCATTTTATATATCTAACAATTACCTCTTTTGATGTAGTAGGATTTTGGTTTGGATAAGTCAATTCATATTGATCAGGATGGAATTTCAAAAGATGACGCTTCAAGCCAGTTGTATTGCCATCTTTCATTTTAATTTTTTTATCATTTGTATCAAGACTGGCATCTGGAGGACACAATTTACATTTCGCCATTTTACATGAATCCTCACGGAAAAATTCAAAAGATTCGATGAATGGTAACGCATTGTGTTTTCTCCGTTTTGATCGGAATTTTTCGAGGTTACCGCCATCACTTTTATCTTTTTCGATACTACATTAAAGAATTTATTATTATCTTAATTATACGTAAACAAATTGAACTTTCTAAATTTTTTAATTTTAAGAAAAATATTAATAAATAATGTTCAACATATGAATTTAGTCGACTGTTAAAATTATTTTTAAGTGAAATAAAATTTCTTATATTGGAAAGAGTGATCAATCCATTTACATCAAAAAGTTAAAAAAATTAAATAAAGGTTATTGGTAAACCTGATTACTAGTGTCTCCAAATCTTCGGAATT